CAATCTAATCATTCTAGGCTTCCATATTGCACGTACCATAAACAAGTTGGTCACCACACTGCGGATTGTAGAGCTAGGCAAAGGACATCTCCACCTCGTAACTCCCATGGTCAGTCTTGGCGAGGCTCACAGCGTCCAAGACATTATCAGAACTCTCGTAATTACAACTCCCAGCCCAGCTATAATGCAACTTCAAATTATAATGCTCAGTCACAGAATGCTGGAGCTCAGAATGTTCACTCCATGTCGTCGGGAAACCCCCAAGGCCATCCGCTAACCAATCCTAGTGCCCTCCCTGTGTATTCAGTAGCTACCCAAAATAGATTTGGACACTTGACAGAGGAGGACACTGACTCTAGACCAGTTGTAGATGTTGACGGATCCACAGTAAATTTGACACAAACAAGACACAGATATCCCAGACAACATAAGTCAAAAATAGTAACTTGTCCAGTCTCAAGTGATGGTCCCCTTGTCTCAGCCATTGTACATGGTAGAGTTTTAAAAGTTTTTCTTGACTCAGGTGCAAAAATTAATATTGTCAAGCCCTCGGCTCTTAGAGACATTGAGAGTAAGCACCCTACTATTTTAAAACAGTCACACATACCTTTTCTAAGTGGTATTTCAGGAAATAAAGTAAAAGTTCAGGGTGAAATTGACCTCCCACTCAAGTTCAATGATGTCACATTGTCTATAACATGTTTAGTTGTTGACATTATTCATTTTCCTGGAGACATTCTCTTAGGTCTGTACACCATGATTGATGAAAATATTGCATTGTTTCCCCATCGTTGGAACATAAGTATCAAAGACCATGTCATACCCTTGTGTAGCATGTATCGACAGGGCCACGAGTTCAACCTTCAATCAGATTACGTTAATTTTGTTGACACCCGCCTTGCTAGCGTAGGGTTGTCAGATCATTGTCGTGGTAGCATACCCGAGAAAACAGGCACTCGATTGAAGCATAGTAGTTGTGCAGTTGTTAAGGAGAATGAGTATCGGGACTTTCTGGAAGGGGACGCCCTAACGGATTCTCGTTGTCTCGCTCGCCTGGCAGCTTCCATCTCTGAAGTCAGTGGTTCCATGGCTACTGACACTGTGCTACACCCTCATTCTCTCACCAGAATAAGAGTTAAGGTTCAGGGAGTGCCTGAGTTGTCGGATGTGATTGCGGAAAGTGAAACATGTAAAGTGAATGGTACATTTGTTGAACCCTCCTGGCACACAGTGCAGGATGGTACTGTCACACTTTTTATCGCAAACACAAGTAATGCCGATATCCATCTCCAGTCTGGTACCCATGTTGTAGATTTTGCCCATTACTCGTTACCGGTGCGAGTTGTGGATGATGTCTCCATGGATCATACTGTTTGTACACTCACACCAGGAGAACAGGGATCTCAGCCAGAGGTGCAAGCGCAACACCTCAGTCCTACTGATTTTCCTGACTCTGTGGCTCAGCTTTTGAAAATTTTGAACAAGAATAGAGCTGTTGTTGCTCTACCAGGAGAAAAATTAGGTCTCACTCCTCTCATTACACATAAAATTCCCCTTGAACAAGGAACTACGCCTATTTATGTACCAGCTTACCAGTCAGTGGCGAGAAGTCAGACTCGCAAAAAGTAACGAGTGGTGTACCTCAAGGATCGGTGTTGGGAACAGTTCTATTTCTAATATACGTGAATCACATGTCTACAGCAGTCGAGTCCTATATGTAGATGTTCTCGGATGACGCGAAATTAATGAGACGAGTTGTGACAGCTGAGTGTTGTAAGATACGCCAAGAGGACTTGAACATGCTGCAGAGATGGTCAAAGAAATGGCTACTGGAGTTCAACATGAGCAAGTGTAAAGCTATGGAAATGGGATCAGGTGACAGGAGACCAAAGGGTCAGTACACAATGAAAGGAAAGTACCTTCCTGTGACAATTAGTGAAAGAAACCTGGGAGTGGATGTAACACCATATCTAAATCCTGAGGCACATATAAATCGGATAACGACAGCATTGTACTCTACACTAGCAGAAGTTAGAACACCATTCAGAAACTTAGGTAAGGAGGCATTCAGAGCGCTTTACACTGTCTTCGTGAGACCAGTCCTTGAGTATGGAGCCCTCACCTAAAGAAACACATTAGGCAACTGGAAAAGGTTATATAATTTGCGACGAGGCTATTCCTGGAGTTTCAAGGGATGGGATATGAAGAGCGACTGAAGGAACTGAACCTGACGACGTTGGAAGATAGGAGGGAGCGGGGGAGATATGATAGCAGTATACTCAATACTTAGGGGGTGACAGAGTGGAAACAGACAAAATGTTCGCATGGAATACCAAAAGAACAAGGGGACATGGGTGGAAGCTGGAAATTCAGATGAGTCATAGAGATGTTAGAAAGTGTTCTTTTAGCGTGAGAACAGTGGGGAAGGGGAATAAACTGAAAGAGCACATTGTGGAAGCAAACACTACTCATAGCTTTAAAACTAGGTATCATTAGAGGAAAGAGGTCATTGCTTTAAACAACTGCCGGCTAGAGAGGCGGGATCCAAGAGCCAACGCTCGATTATGCAGGCTCAAATAGGAGAGTACATAAGGTAGGCGGCAGCTCGTGATGCAGCCCGTCCTCCTAAGGGTTCTCAATGTCAAGAAACTGTCGTAGTAAATTGCCCTTCAATCCGTTCTTGCACTTTCTTACAGTCAATATTGACTTATTAAATAAGTGAATATGTGACATACTAATTTATTGTGAATATTTTAGTTTACCTTGAAAAGCTTCATAGAAAACACCGACCTTACCTAACCTTCTTAGTATGTTAAGATAAGCATCTTATTGCTTCGTAATTACAATTATTACTTAACCTATACCTATAATAGGTTAAGTAATAATTGTAATTATGAAGCAATAAGATGCTTATCTTAACATAAGTAATTACAATTATTACTTAACCTATATCTATAACAGGTTAAGTAATAATTGTAATTACGAAGCAATAAGATGCTTATCTTAACATACTAAGAAGGTTAGGTAATGTCGGTGTTTTCTATGAAGCTTTTCAAGGTAAACTAAAATATTCACAATAAATTAGTATGTCACATATGCACGTATTTAACAAGTCAATGTTGACTATACGAAAGTGCGAGAACGGGTTGTGCCCTTATCCTAACCTACCTGACGACCCAAAACATAAAATTGGAAATTATAATTTTAACAGAAATGTTAAATTTCGCGAGCCGTTACCATTTACCAGTATAACGATTTTTGGCGTTTGGTAGAGTATGCATGTAAATGTGACGCTCTATTAGGAGGATGGGTTGGGATGGGTTCTATTGATGTAAGGTAAATGTCCTACAGACACAGGCAGCTCACTTTAGTGAGTAGTTCATCCTATGCACAAATCACACCGATCCTGATAACACAGCACAGTGACGGTAAGATGTTAAGTCACACCCGTCACGATATTTTCTGCACAATGATGGTAGAGATGTATACAGATAACACGTGGTCAGTCGGTGTGTTGTGACAGTGGTCACCTGGTGACACCACACAGTTCCTTCTCCACACCTATAGTTCACTCGTTAATCGCCGTTAATTACACTAATAATACAACCAGATTCTGCGGGGCGACTAAGTAGAATGAGAAATAATAAGATGATGGGCCGAATACTGTGATTAACCACCTTCCTCTTCAAGTTAACTCGGGCATCAGAATGAGTTTGGCGGCACTGTTGGGGCTCCACCGCCTCCTCAATGGCACGCTGGGCTAATACGATTGGACCAATAGGACAAAAGGAATGGTGCCTGCTCTCATGAAATTTTACTATTCTAACCGGCTGGGCCATAGGCGTCATGGTTACGTCATAGCTAAGGCCTACGCTCGTTGATCCACTTAAGAGAGTTGGGGTCCCACAGTCACCTTCCTGACCACAAGTTGGAAAAGTTCACTCCTGCTCCTCTCTCTAAGCTTGACGTCTAGAGAGATGACTTGTGATGCAGACAACTTCCCTTCGCTCTACTTAATCCACGACGAGGCATACAACGGCCCTTGTGATACCTTTGGTCTCCTGATACCAAGGATCCAACCACTTGGGCTAGACGGTAGAGAGACGGTCCCGCTTCATTCAGGTCGGCGTTCAATCCCCGACCATCCAAGGGGTTGGACACCACTCTTTTCATCCGTCCCATCCCTAATGTTTATCCTGACCCCTTCCAAGTGCTATATAGTCGTAATGGCTTGGCACTTTACTCTGATAATTGCCTCCCTCGTGAATCCCATGGGCGTCCTGTACACACCCAACATGGCAGACCTAAGTCCTTAACTAACACTACTTGATCAAGTGCACTCACACACTGTGCACTCTAGAGCTCACTACTCATCCTTCCATCATCATACACTAACTTTACACATCTTGAGTCAGCTCTAATTCAATCAATCAATCAATCCAGCAATCCGTTTTCTCACATTGATGTAATATAATACACCACCAAGTGTTGTGTTCTGTATAGTAAAGCAAGAAGTGTTTGATACAATATAATACACCACCAAGTATTGTGTTCTGTATAGTAAAGCAAGAAGTGTTTGATATAATATAAGAAACAATCAAGCGTCCGAAACAAAATATATTTCGACTCATCCAGCATAACAGAATAGAACTCTTATTGTTTTCTTCTATATATTTGAGAGATGTTTGAAAGTGTAGTTCGGATCATATCGGTAACGCGATCAGTGTCATAAACACTCTTAACTTCAGATTATGATGTCCAAAATATCTGATATTAAAACATTACGAAATATATGAATTTTCTTGGAAATAAAAATAAAGAAGAAAACATTAATAATTTTACATATTAGATATATAATTTCTTGTAAAAATTCAAGAATTTGTGGAAATTTCTGAATTACTAAAAATGTTAAATGAATGTGTGCATTTAAGAATAATAATTTAAAATATGAATCATAATTCTATTTTCGTAAATGTAAAATAAATTTCATGTGTGCTCAG